ATGTTAATATTATACTACATGTGGAGCTTTTGGATATTGTATTGCACAGTGGAGGCCCTTAGAGTCAAGAAGAACCACTGCTGGATGGAAATGTAATATAATTCTAGACATGTATAAAATGAATAAGAAGTGTTGTTTCTGTAATGAGACAAAGGTTTGTACTTGTTATGGTAGATCACTGGGGTGTACGCCTCCTTGTAAAACTCTGCACAGCTTGACTTTCCAAAGATGACCTGTTCAGGGGGTGGAAATCACATTGCACTGGTGAATAAGAGCTTAACGGCTCCACTAGACGTCACTGGGGAGTTACATTTCAGCCATGATGTTGCCCTCGCTAATCATAACACTGTGGATGGATTTCCTAATTATCGCAAAATGAATTTAGCCTCTAATGTACCTGCACTGCATATGGCTTCACTTGAGCCCTAAATAAATTACAGATATTTCCAAGTGAGCAACTGGTGTGCGAATGCAGCGCTAACACTATTAGGGAGTTTCTAAAATCCGTGATTAGATTAACAAAATGTAAAAGGTTCTGCGAGTTCACTGAATTTTCCAAAATTTCCCAGAGCGCTTCTTAATAGATCTGAAGACTGAGTTTGGTTCGAGTGACTAATGCAACCTGTGTGTTTAGCTGAAGCTAAAATACTGTGACATGGATCGATGTGTTTTAGGGAGGCGCTGTCATATTCTTGGCACAGATCTGGAGAGCTTTATTGTGCACAATTAAGTTTATCCAAGCGATGAGATCATCATATCAGATGTACTTACATAATCCCAAATGTTTTTTGTCTTTTCATAAGAATACGCTTTGACAGTGTGACTAGAGCCGGGTGCGGGTGTGATCGGTGACTCACAGGCATGGCCTGGCTGGGATCCTCTCCTGCCATGAACTGCACCTTCACTGCAATGTTCCTCACCGAACCCTGCCGGCTACTGAAGTTGACACTCTGAGGGTAAACGTACAACAGGTTCCTGAGGGGGAGAGAGAAGGAAACAGAGGGAATAAATGAACCCTTTTCTATCAGACCAGCGATGGTTTAGGTGCAGCCTGTAGATGATGTAAACTGTCAAGTTGAGAGCTATTATGTGCACTACCATTTAAAGTTTCCAAAGACTATGAGACTCATACTTTTATGTAACGTCTGTCCTTTTATTTTCAGTCCACTTATCTCGATTTCCTGGTTATATACAGTTTGCTTCCTTCTCTCAACACAGCGGTGCACACAGTGGTGCTCTCTCAAGCATGGCCTTCATTTCTAAGGACAATAGACTGAGTCTACGGAGTCACTAAAATGAGTTTCTCAAGAAAGGTGCTTCCGTGTAGCAATTTCTGAAACCAAATTTTGACTTCAGCAATGCAAGCTCGATTTAGCAACTGAAAAAAAAGTCTTTTCATCGCTCGATTTAGCAACTGAAAAAAAGACACTGCATTGTGGCTGCCACACTTCCTTGAGCAGCACAACCATTTTCAACTATATTGAGATGATGAGAAAGGTTTCTTAAGTAACAAATAAGCACACCAGAATGATTTCTTTAGGATTTACGGAATTTTTTATTTTTTTATTTTTTCAGAAAATAGGACTGATGTAGACAGACAGGTGTTAAAGTACAACCTTATTTATATAACAGTCATTCAAACAGCAATGATTATTTATTTGCAAAAATTGCAAAAAAAGTTAGTGATTATTTTTAATCAATTAAACTCTACCTGGGGTAAGAGATTCGTCAGTTTCTTTCAAAATGTCTTAGTGATTAAATTAAAAAAAGGTTAGAGAAAAACGTTTTTAGAATTGCGTGGAAAAACAGTTTGTCCAGCTATAGACAGGCTCTAAAAATTGCCAGGGCCTAGCATATCCACAAACTCAAAGAAAATAACCAAAACAATCCAAGGTTTTTATTTAGCACAGTAGCTAGATTAACAAATAACCAGACATCACCCGAACTAAATATTCCCTCACAGTTTAGTAGTGATGATTTTATGAATTTCTTCACTGATAAAATAGATAACATCTGAAATACTATAACAAATGTAGAATCGACAGCGTCTTGTAATTCAGCTTCATTCATTGCACCCAAAGAAAAACTGCAGTGCTTTACAACTATAGGACAGGAAGAGCTAAATAAACTTATCACTACATCTAAACCAACAACATGCCTGTTAGATCCTGTACCCACTAAATTACTGAAAGAGTTGTTACCTGTTGTGAGAATTAACTTAGCGCTAGTCTATGGATCCAGTAGCCCCTCACTGCAGAACAAAGATCCGGGGGGCAGGGTTGGAGCCACATCTAGGGGGTGGAGATGGTTGGTTTAGGGGTGGGGAGGGGTGGGTTTAGGGATCAGGGGGTGGAGACGGGTAGGTTT